GCTGCGGGACAGGGAGGGGTTGCATCCCGTGCGGGGACGCCCCTGGGAAAGAGCCCCTTTGCCTTGCAGCGTGGGGACGTGGGGGCATGGGGACCCTCTCTGCAGTGCCGCTCACCCCCTCTGCGTGCCAGCGAGATGGGAAAAGCCCCCCATGCCTGCTGCCAGCACAACCCGGTCCCCAGCGCGGGGGCAATCCTCGCACAGCCCCAGCTCCCAGCCGGCACCTCTGCCAAAGGTGGACCTTGGCACCTTGCTCTGAAAACACATCCCTCTCTGCTTGCCTGTTTGCAGGAGGGTGCTATGTGTGTCCCCCCACCCTGTGCACTCCTGTGGGGTGTGCTGGGGGGCTGCCCCCACCCTCTGCGGGGGCTCCCAGTGCAATGGGGTCCCAGCACCACCCATTGGGATGGACGTGGTGGAGGAGTGCCTGTCCTCCGGGTGGCCATCCTCAGGGTGCCCGGGCTGTGGGGCCGATGGGCCCCAGTTTGGGGTGGTCTTTGTGTCCTGCATGAAGGGGCAGGCTGAGGAGGCACTTGGAGATGTTTGGACTGCAGGGGACGTGCCCCCTCCTTGCTCCCCCCCCACTGGTGCACACACCTGGTGTCTCCCAGGAAAGGTTATCAGCTAATCACCCTGCCCCGCTGTCTCTGTGCGCCTCCCAAATGTCACCCTTGTCCTCACTGGGGCAGTGAGCTCATGCTCCCCCCCAGTTAATGAAAGCCCCCCCAAAGCAGCGTGAAGCAGCTTCCAGGACCTGGCCTTGCCATGGCCCCTTTGAAGCAGAGCTGCTGACAGCCCTGAGGGGCGGGGGAGGGGGCTTGGCACACAGCGAGTGCAGGATGGGTGCCCGGGGGGTGGCCTCAGCGCTCCAGCTGTCCTCCAGCTCCCAGCCACCACACCAGGATGGCAGGGAGGGTCGGGGTGCCAGCATGGGGTGCAGCACCATGCTGGGGACAGCCCAAGTCCTGGCCGGGGAGCCAAGCACAGGGGCTGGGACAGGGGCATTGCTGGGGCATGGCTGCTGCGGTGTGATGGGCACGCTGGCTATGTGGGGCTGTCTGTAGGGGCCGCAGGTGTACCCCACGCCTGTCCCGTGGGGCCAGGGGCACGGGCTCTGGGCAGTCAGCCAGAGCCAGTGGCAAGGGGAGGTCTGCAGGGTCTGTCTGTGGGACAGGTCAGAGCCCCCTCGCTCCAGGCACTAGGGGAGACCCAGGCTGAGGAATCAAAGGCAGCCCTGGCAGCAGCCATGTGTGTGGTGCCCGCTCCTGCTACGAGGCAGTGTAAAAATGGCCCCTTGAGGCTCAGCAGATGGAGCAGAAGGGGCAGAGCCCTGTTGCTGCAAGCACCCTGCCAGCCCCCCGCACAGTGCCGGGGGCTGGGGGGGAAGCAGGGTCACACAGCACTGTGGGGCTGCCCTGAGCCCCCAGTGCCCCTGATCCTACTGCCTGGGTACCCCTCAGCTACCCCTGCCCCCCTCCACCTCTGTCCTGCCCTGCTGGGAGTGATGGCATGGCACAGCATGGCATGGAATGGCAGCAGCCTGTCCCCTCCACATGGGAACCAGCAGGGTATGTCCCTGCCCTGGTTAAAACTGTAAAGCCCACGATGGTGCATCCTGGAAGGGGGCACTGGCCAGCTCTGGTGGGCTCTGAGGATGCTGGGGACTGCAGGGCACCACAGACAGGGCCAGGGGCTGTGCGGGGATGGGGAGCACTGTGGGGCAGGTCCAGGCTGTCTGCGTCCTGCCTGCCACCAGGCAAGGCTTGCCTCTGGGTAGTAAAGCTGGGGGAAGGCAGTTCCCAGTGATGGAATGGATGTCCCACCAAAGGACACTCCTTGACATGTGCCCTGGTCTCGCAGACAGCACGTCTGGGGCTTGTGAGCTGGATCCCAGGGCCGAGGGTCCAGCACCTGGGCTGGATTGGTGTGGCCGGAGAAGAGACATCGCTTGAGCAGCACCACAGGGTGCAGGCAGACAGGCAGAGCCTGGGGCAGCAGGGACAGCCAGGCCCCCCCGGGCTGCTCTTGGCCCCTCGCCGCGGCGTCGGAGAGCAAACTTCATCTGCTGGCAGGCACAGCATTGCCATGGCAACTGGCAGG